TTTTTGCTTTAGTTATGGATGGTCTTACTGGACATCTACAAGAGGATGTACCTTGGTGTATGCTTTTTGCTGATGATGTTCTTCTCGTGGATAAATCGAGAGAAAAAGCCCAGGAAAAACTTGAATTATGGAGGTCTACATTGGAGTCTAAAGGCCTTCATTTAAGTAGAATTAAAACTGAATACATGGAATGTAATTTTAGTAGTAATAGCTCTAGTGACAGAAGTGTGACTTTGGGTGATCAAATTATTAAAAGGTGTGAACGATTTAGATATCTTGGGTCTATTGTTCAAAGCGATGGTGATATAGATGGGGATGTTAATAGTAGAATTCAAGTTGGTTGGTTGAAGTGGAGGAATGCTTCGGGCCTTTTGTGTGATAGAAAAGTACTGCTTAGACTGAAAGGAAAATTTTATAAGATGGTGGTGAGACATGCAATGCTTTATGGCGCTGAATGTTCACCTTTAAAAGAGAAGCATAATAATAAGTTAAGTCTTGTCGAATTGAGAATGATTAGGTGGATGAGTGGCTTTACACTTAGAGACAAAATGCGAAATGAATATATTCGTGATAGGGTTTGTGTAGCTCCTGTGTCAGACAAAATTAGAGAAAGTCGTCTTAGATGGTTTGGTCAGATTAAACGTCGACCATCTGATGATCCGATTAGGAGAGTAGACGTTTTAGATTCAACTTGTGTTAAGAAAGGCAGGGTAGACCTAGGAAGACTTGGGCTAATTGTATAAAAAATGATCTTAATTTACTGGAACTAAATGAAACTATGACACTAAATAGGACGCAATGGGGACCCCACGTAGTGGGATTAAGGCTTTGTTGTTGTTATTGTTGTTGTTGTATAGATAAATTAATATTATATTTAAAGTTTATATAATTAAAATAAAATATTAAATATTTTAAGCAATTATTATGTAAAAACTCTAAATAAATATAGTTTTTCACTTCTTTTTAAAAAATAATATTTATAATTATATACTTAACAATAATATGCACATATTTTAAGATGATACAACGATAAGGACAAGGTAATCTGCAATGACATTTGCTCTTCTCTTTAAAGTAAAGTTAAATATGCAATTTTTTATATTTTTAACCCCTCTTATCTTTCATAAATAGGAAAATTATATGGTGCAAGAGGGATTTTTGGCTTTACTTTTTTTCTTTAGGAATAAATGAGTCATCGACCCGGGAACACCCCATTCTCTCGTGACGGTGAAGTTCTCTCTCTCTCCCTCTCTCTTCCACTCTCTTAATCTTCTTTCCCTCGATCCATCATTCTATTCCTTGGCGCAATCAACGAAACAAATTTGAATTCAACTTTCTTTAAAGTGGGGTGAGTCTAGACCGTGCTGAGGACAAGAAGACGAACAACAATGAGCAAAAAACTCTTTATGGTTTAGGGTTTAGGTCTTCAGAGAAACTAGCAAAAATTATAAGGGGAACTTACACTCGAAAGTCCTCCTCATCTCCCATCGATCTTATTATGCTTTTCATTTCTTGGGACATACAAACAAGTAGGAAGATTCTCACTAGAACTCCCCTGAAGATTACTCACTGTCAACCGAGCCAACATAAACGATAGGATTCCCCATTACTCCCACCCGTCTCCGGCTGACCGGTATCAGCCGGTCGACAACCACCTCGGATGTCTGCCCTCTCATCATCCAACCAGAATGAAGCAACAATCATATATTATTGTAATATTAAAATTTCAGGTTGTTTTATTACAATACTAAAGTTTTGCGTTATTTATATATAATTTATGAAGTTCGACGCTCTATGAGTGAAAAAATTCCCTTTAAATATTTTGATAGTTGGAAATGAAAATCATTTTTGTGGCAGTTCTTACGAGCATGAGAGTGCTACAATGGCAATGCTTACTGTTCGTCCAACTCGAGCTCTTCCTTGTTCCTTCTCAGATTTTTCTGCCGCACTCCCGCCAGGGTTTCCCTTCTGCTCATTCTCTCCTTACCTCCCAACACTGGTTTCGCCACGCAGGCTCCGCTCTTTTCGTTGCTCTACGAGCTCATCGGATCACCATAAATCACCTCCTCTGTTGAAGTCAGCCATCAGTGGATTAACCGAGCTCCTTAGGACCTTTTCCCCGAAGAAAAGGAGGCAATCACTGCGTTTCGCGTTTGTCCGTCCCTCTCAATCTCTCCTAATTCATGTTACTAATCATGCACCTTTTTTGTTCTTCAAATTAATGGGGAATAGGGATGATTCTGGGTTTGAGGATGCGCCTTTGGCCGGCAGCGTGGACGATGTGCTTCAAATTCTCAGTATAGATTACGGCCGTGCTTATTTCCTTACAGGCATTGCCTATGAACTTTGCTCGATGTTTGATTTGGTCGTGATTGTACGTTAGTTGCTTTTCCTGTATGACTCTCTCTAGTTGATCAATGATTATGTGTTTTTTCTAGATTAATACGAATTAAATCTTGATGATTCTGACAGTTTAGTTGCATGTATGGTTCAATGGTAAAGTGATATTTAAGAAATTAGGCTTTCTTAAAATGGGAAGGTTAGGTTTATTCTGTGGGTCAGTATATTTGTTTAAGGATTCTCTTTCTGTGATGTGATACAGCATCTTATAGTGTTAACTAGTTAGAGTTATTCTTGTGTGTCTGGGAAGCCAACCACCATTTATGCACCAGAATTTAATCCAGTTGTATTTTTGGTGTAAAGTGTGCTCTGCTATGCTAAAACTAAGTTTTTATTGGAGATGTGAATTTTGGTAAATTTATGGAAAGGAGAATATTTTGGTACCACAATGCTTAGAAGTTTTTCTGTTATTTTTGATTTGCAAGAAATTGAATGGAAAGGAAAATAACATTAAACATGTAACGAAATGAATTATGGAGAGTAGGAATAAAGAGTTGAAAAATAAAATTGTTGAGGTGAAAAAGAATAGTGGTAATGTGATTTTTATTAGTTTTAAAATTTATAAATGTAGTAAATGAATATGCTACTCAAGTTGAGGCAGAATAAGTACTGAGAAACAAATTTTTGGAAGAAAAAAAAAATCATTATAGCATATTGAACGAGAGGATGTTTATTAATGGTGAATGAAATGGATTTAATTGGATGTTTCTGTGATTACTTGTGTTCGGCTTGAATTAAGTGATAGAAGTATGATGATAAACTATACTTGATGTTTAAATACCCTACCATCTTGAAAGCACGAATGAAATGATTTCAAGGAGTTAAAAGAGCATTTAATTGCCTGTAAAATAGATCTATTAAATTGCAACTACGCTTTTCTTTAGTTTGCAAATTTTTTTGTCAAGTATTGTAAGTTGATTCTAAATGAAATTTGGACCACATACTATAGCAGAATAGTGTTCATGGACATATATATATATATAGCAAAATAGTGTTCATGGACATATTGTTGACCTCATTTTTGTGAGGTCTTGTCTTCTCCTCCTTAGAGCCTAGATTCTAGCTCTAGAAATTCCTGTGGACTATCTTAGAAAATTAGAATTGAGACTCACCCTTCTAGAAATTCCAGCCAATTCCTATTTTCCTTTGATGTCTAGCATCTTTGGCACAAGACCATCGTCTTATGAACGAGCGGTTATGGGCTATGTTGCGTAGATTCAAAGAAAATGTTCCAAATAAGACTTCAAGCCTTAGGAAAACATTCGTCACGACTTTTTCGTCACGTACACACACAAAATACACGAAACTCACGAATTTGCACGAAATCGGATTTCATTTAAGCCCAAAGGACGGGTGAAAATGCGAACTTCTCCGGATGACCTCCGACGACAAATTGGACT